AGGTATTGGATCTTTTTTACATATAAGGACACAAACTCAGAGCCACTAAGTACCTTGTACAAGGTCACATAGCTAATGAGGTGAGAGCTGCGTCTGTCCGTCCCATTCTATGACACGCCTCCCTCACTTCTACAAGATGTGAATATAGCGCACCAAAGATCATCACATTACAATACAGGTAGGACCTGTCTGACAGTCTGAGAGACCAAGAGGCTGAGACAGATCTTTCTTCTGCAAGACATCACTGAAGAGGAAATAATTTAAGGAACTGCTAAACATGAAATTCTTCTAAAGAACTGAAACATTTGTAGATGAATGTCCCTGCCACTGGATCCACACACTTCTGTCCCACATAAATTGACAGCCACACTGCTCTTTCCTTCAGCATCACAGACCACCACAGGGCTTTGCCCATCATTCAAGACCATGCTCCAATCCTGCTTTCTCCAGGAATCTCCAGATCTGCTTTCTCAGAATTGGAGTCCCCCTTCCCTGTACCCCAGCATCGACATCTCCACTGAAACACTTACTGCGAACTTGGTACCAGGGTCCATGCCCTTGTGGCCCACGCACCCTTAAGCAGCAGGGCTAAACGGAGGGCTCAAGTAGCCAGGCCTTGCTGAGTGTTAGGTTGTTTGCACGTGCAGGTTGAATCAGGGGGAAAACAAGCTGCCATATGGATTCAACTGTCTCAGTTCACGCATAAGAGCCATAAGTACATATTTAAAAAAAAAAAAATCTGAACTAAATATCCGGGCTAAGAGGGTATGGGCAAACATAACTCTTTGTCCTAAAATCCACAAACTGAGATGGATACAGAAATATTTTAGTTTCTTAAATTTCTCTAATTTTCTGTGATAAATGTAGAGAGGCAGTCTTAATTCCAGAATGACCAAAACGCATTTTTTAATAATTGTATCACTTCTATTCTAAAAAGTGAGTGAGAAATGATGATTCTTCTCCATTGCTATGGCACACACATTGTTCAGATTAACAGGAGAAAGCCTGCTGGGCTCTGTGGCCTCTTCCCACCTGAGAGATAGGTATTCGATTCCTCCCAGCTCACACATAGAAATCACAGTACTCTCTGGTGAAATTTAGCACAAGTGCCTAGATCCCTGAAAGTAGTAAAGTCTTGTGAAAAGGTAATGAAGGGGTTCTGTACTCAGTTCCTCTAAATGCTATTGTCAGCAGTAACACTTTAAAAGGCTTCAAGCTTCCTCTAGGTATTGCAAAACCTCCCGGTTTGGAAATAATAAATATCCTACTTGAATTACTAAGAAATCCCAACAGAAGCCAGATTCACTAATCTAGAAGCAGGCTGTTTTCTAGAAGCTTTGGAAGTTTAGTGTTAGAATTCGGAATATTTCCATAGAATCAATATTACAGGTGTTGGCTGGGCGGTAAGGCTTGAGCCAATAGCATTTCCCAACGACCACTGAAAACTTCCCATGGCGGGCAAATGCAGTTGGAGCTCCAACTAGGGGCTCCAGGCACAGCAGTGGTACCCTGGGAGTGGGGACAGGCTGGTAGCGAGGGTGGGTGGGTGAAGAAGAGCAGCAGGTTAGAATGCTTTCTCTAGGGACGGAAAGCCAGGAAGGAAGAAGGCCCACAGAGGGGATGGCCTTCCTTCCTCCTCCCAACAAGCTTTGGGGCCTCATATCAGACTAGGGCAGACCCACCTAAGCAGGTGGTGGTGTGAGGTACTGCGGAGACCCTGGTTCCAGACCTGGCTGGGCACTCACTATCAGGGCAGTCACGAACGATTAAATCCCTTACCTTCCCTGGGCAAGTTTCCTCTTCTCCAATAGGACTGCCATGGTCCTTGTTACCCAGGAATCGTATTTACCCATGGGGAGGCTGAAGAAGAGTGCGGGGGTGGGGGGCTGCCCACACGTCCTCTAGCGCAGGGGCAAGAGCGTGGGGAGGTCACTCTCTTGGCAGGAACCCCTCATCCCCAGCTGCAGGCACCCACAAGACCCAGCTCTGCTAGGATGTGTTACTGAAACAGAAGCAGCCTTGGAAAGTCCGAGAACTTAGAGCTCACCGAGGCTTATGTTTAAAAATCAGGTCGGTCGTAAACGTTTCCACATATTCACCAAACATAAGATCGAATATATTTAGGAGTAAGCATTCCTCCTGAAATCCTATTTTCATTATCCAGAATGAAGATGGTTTACTAAGGTAAACTTCAGTTCTGTATCAGAGGAATTAATTACTAATTCTCAATTAGTGGAAGCTGAATGGACAAGTTGGATCATAACCAAAATTATTACCTGGGGTTCTGAAACTCCTGTCGCTCTCTCTCTCTAACTACATACACAGCATGTACACACACAAGTTCTCTTCCCTGTTTACCAAGAGTCGTCGTGAAGTTCATTTTGAAAAACAAGAACATCCACCTCACAGGCCCACTCCGTCCTTAGGAGCTGTGTTCCTAATACCGTATAAAAGGCTTGGCACAAGCTAAAGCAAAAGAGCAAAACACCTTGAATTTTTGGCCAGTGATTCTATTGTGCCTTTATTCAATTAGCTCTCCTCTGTTTAATAAGATCTCTAGCAAGCCTCCTAGAACATCTCAGAAACCATAAACTCACCAAGAATATGGTGAAAAGCATCAAGGAAGATAGGCGGCAGGCGTCCGACCCTCAGATTGAAAATGCCGACCTACCAGCTCTCGGAGGGAGCTGTCGGTCAGAGAGGAGGGTGTCCGAGCAGTGCAGCCCTCCCAACCCGCTGTACAGACAGAGGAGTATTTCTTCTGGGCTTTAGTGAGTCACGAATTTGACCCCCTCCGAGATCATGCATGCAACCGAATTTTCAATCAGTGTCCAAAGACGAGTGGATCAAACACTGCTTTAGGGCAATGTATACATTGGGACTCCTCCCCGCTTCCTCTACACGTTAGATCCGGCTCACAGTCTAGACGGCGAGGAAAAAGACGTGCGTGCTTGGATGACATTAGCCTCCATCCAGGAAAACATCTTCCCAGGCTGCCACAGGCGGCTCAAGAAGGTTCGCCTACCCCCAGTTTAGACCCCACTTCGGAATTTTCCCATCTGTGTCCAAAAACAAGTGAAACATTCTATCAGTTGAAGCTGTGGCCATGTTGCAGGCTTCAGGAAGTAAGGCCCTGGTCTGCAAAAGACCAGGAACGCCCTCTGTCATCTGCTAAATACTCTCATCCATTGGCCAGCTTTAAAGACATTTGTATTCAGCACAGGGAAATGGAAACATTAAAAACTTTAATTTTCTTTTTCTTTTTCTTTTGTACCTAGCTTACCTTATCTGAACAGTGTAGACATGATTGATGGGTTTGGGTTCCCACTCCAAAATTGTCTTGAAATTAGTTGATTTCCAAGTTAAGTTATATGCTACTACTACCTCTGTAGTCCCTTTAAACAACAGAGAAACAGCTATCATTACATGGGCTCAGCACACGATTTCACCTTGATGGTATAAAACATCTTCCATCCCCCCAACATCACCATTAACCTCATATTAATTTTTTTTCCAACCACAAAAGCTTCATTACTGAATTATCAAGACAAAAAAAAATTTCAAGTTTTTAATTTTCTTAGTTAAGGTCTCTGAACTTCCTCATGGCAAGATCGATCTTGTAATCTAAGAAAAGAGGCAAGGATCTCGAAATCCTTGTTTGAAATTATTCACGGTGGGGGAGGGGGGTGGTGGGAAGCCCTGAGATAACTTGACCTGGAAACACAGCTCAGGAGCCTTCAGCCTCCTGCGATGTCTAAGGCGCAGCCCAGGAAGTGTAGGACTCAGAGGTTCAACTCACCAGGGAAGGCCGGGTAAGAAGGGTTTTGGGTAAGTTATGGAGAGGGGCAGATCCCACGCGTGTGAGAGAGGTTAGGCCTGTACACCATAAGAAAGCCAAATCTTGACTTTTCCCATTTTTATCTAACATGTCTCTATATAGAAACCTCCGGAAAGCTAGGCAGAAGTGTGGCCTGTCACACCGTCGGATGTGTTCCGTTAGGATGCGTTATTATGAAGGTGCGCTTTGCCAGTACTCAGCGGGTCACAGTCTCTGCCCTGCCCCACACACATTATAAGCATATGGGGCATGCACAATGTGGTGTCTGCTTCAATCCAAGCGACTTTTTGCAACAGGATTGCCTCTAACTCAATCTAAAACAAAGACGTCCAAGAAAAGACCACAAGGGCCTCTCTTTATCAAGGAAAGTGGACGTGCAATGAAGGATAATATCCAAACACGGCACGCTGACCAGGACAGGTGCGGATCCGTGTCCACCACCTTCAAGGTTGCAGATTACTGGGAAACACTTTCCCTAAACTCAAAGCGGGAGCCACAAATCCCTGTACGCCATTCCGACGGACTCCGGACTAAGCTTCTCCAGCAGAAGGGGCCGCGGACCACTACCCTTCCTCCCCCGCCTGCGCGCCTCGGGGGCCGGGTTGGTTCGGACTCCGCTGCGTGAGAGCGGCCGCGTCAGGCGGGTGCGGGGGCACCTCCCGGCAGCAGGGCGAGCCCCCTTCTCCCGACCGCGCGCCGCTGGGTTTCGGGGGCGGGTGCCACTCACCTGAGGCTCCGGCCACCTGCAGGAGGACCCAGCCAAGCAGGAGCATCCGAGCGACGGCGGCCTCGGGGCAGGGCACCCGGGGCCAGGTGGGGGTCTCCATGTCCACGAGCTGGCGGCGAGGTCGGGAGGATTCCGTTGCGCCCCGAAGACTAGGGAGGTTGCGCCGGAGGCGCCGATGGGCAGCGTGCGAGAGCGGGAAGGGGTGCGGGGAAACCCGAGTCTGGGGGAGCCCGCGCCGGGGCGCGCTTTAAAGAGTTGCGCGGCCGCCCGCGCCTCCGCCGGCCCCCGGCTCGCCCCCGCCGCTCCTCCCCACTCCCGCCCCCGGCCCGGTCACTGGCCGTCGCGGTGGGCGGCCCCCGGCCAGTCCCCTCCCCTGTCCCGCCTCCTCCGGGGAGGAAACTCCGAGGGGTGATTCACCGTGATTCAATTGCGCCGCCGAGCGCGACGCTTCCCTGCGGCCCCGGCGGCTCCAGGTGCGGCGGAGAACCGGGTTCCCCGGCCTCCCGGCCCCCTGACCCCTGACCCCCGGGCCACCCAGGCCGGCGACCCCGACGTCCGGCCTGAGTGGGCGGGTCTGTGGGGAAGAAGGCGGGGACGCTTTGGAAGGAGTTCTCGAGGTGGAGGCAAGGATTCTCCCGTACCGTTCGGTTACGGTGCTGTCCCGGCCGGGAGCGGCAGCACTTACAAGTTGAACGGCCCGGAGCGGCTCCGGGCTCGCTGGGGCCGCCGAGAGCATTGCCCCGGCGCTCCGGGCACGGGGGGTACGGGTGGGGGGCCCGAGCCTCGGAATCTGCGCCCAAGTAGCTGACGGTGAGCACCGCTCACCCGCGGTTCGGCCGCGAAGGCCTTCCCACCTCACCCGGCCGTTAGCGAGGTTTGCAACCTGTAAAGGTGGTGCAAATGCAGGTGTCTGCCCACAGGTCCGGAGGTCAGTTAGCCCAGGCTCAGCCCAGCCCAGCTCGGGGTAGTGACTGAGGAAGAGCTCCCCCAGTCCGGCGGTTTGCCCTTGGGAGAATTCCAGCATGACATCTGCAGCCCTGTGGTTCCAGAAAGGATGGTTCTCACGCTGAAGAAGACATTCGTGGGACTGAGTTACTTCCGCCCAAGTGTAAAGAAACCAAAAATGAAATTTAAAAATATCATCAGACTTTTTTTGTGTGTGTGTGCCTGTCATAAGCATTGGGCTTTTTGAATCTATTTCTGGCTTCCTCTTTGGGCTTTCCTGTAAAATTGTCAGGCAAGAGAATGTTAATTCTTATTCTAAGTGGCACTGTACAAGGTCTTGTCAAAGTACCTGCCATCATTCCGTTTTTATTACTCTGTAGTTGCCTCCAAGACAGACTGGACGGGTTTTAGGGAGAGAGCAGAGTCTCCTACTTTTTTTCTAGGGAAGTCAGCCTTGCCTTTTAGTACATACTGCATACACATTTCCATATAACATTATGGAATAAGCCATAGCAATACACTCATTTTAAAGGAAATAAAACCCTGCAGAATTTTTTTTCTCCCTGTGTCTGAACTGAAATAGCACATCCAGGTTTAGCTCTTGTCCACCTTTCCTGGAAGCTGAAATCTGCACTTGCTGGTTTCCTCTTTGAGCTCTCTTCCAGCTCTAAAACCCACGGAATTTATATTTGCAAAACGAGACCATGCAAGCCTCCTTTTTGTAGTCTCCGGGCCTGAGTCATTTTCCCTAACAGATCTTTAGCCAGCCTGGGATGTGATTCTTTGCACTGGAGTTGAAGGTACCTAGAAGAAAATGTTACACTTGCTTTCGAAGACCCAGGGAGTTGTTGCTTTGTCTACAGAGTAATTGGTTCCATTTGGAAACACTGACTGTCCTGAAATCATAAAGGGCTTTAAGTGATGTCAGGGTCAGCAATTTGGCAAGAAAAATATGTTTAACGTTAGATGGTGACACAAAAAGTGATGTAAAGATTGATAAATTAGATAAATACTTATTTTACATATTCACTAAAATGATCAGATAGGGAAGAGAGGAATTGGTTGGGTTGTTACGGAGGTTTTTGAGTAAATATAGAATTGCATTCTTTAGAATTGTGCTCTCTCTCTGTCTCTCTGAGTTGAAGATACCTGTTTGATGGACTGACCATGACATGCCTAACCTTGTATTTTTTTTTTTTTGGCATGGAACAAAATTTATTAATAAAAAAACATTCTTTCATATCCAATCCAAAATGCTGACAGGAAATCATTCAAACAATTAAAATCAGGACAGTAAGTAGGAGTGCTGATACATATAATAGGAAAGGGACTCCTTATCTTATTCTGTATACCCAAAGTCTAGAGAGAACTCAGCATCAGGGCGATAATTCAACTATTTACTGAATGAATGGGTTTCTGTTCACCAAGTTAGTGCATATGTCAAGTATAAGGAGCTATAGAAATTGGGAATTAGGGGATGCTTACATAAAATGATACCATATTAAAACTTTAAAATTATATGTGTTATATTCATGAGGCCATACATTAAAAGTTTTCATTTTAAATGACTTTTTTGTTACTAAAACAATATCCACAACTTACATTTATGATTTACATATTTTGTCAACATTGTATGTACAGAATAATATTTACTGTCCATCAAAATGGAAGTTGACAGACTGTTTGATAAACCTTACGTTTATAAAGATAGTTTTGTGCTGAAAATAGTAATCCTGTTTAAGGTTTGAACTGGAAGTTTTTTCTTTAAAATTTTGCTTTTTAAAATACGTGCTTTGGGGACACCTGGGTGGCTCAGTCGGTTAAGTGTCTGCCTTCGGCTCAGGTCATGATCCCAGGGTCCTGGAATTGAGTCCCCCGCATCGGGTTCTCTGCTCCGCGGGGAGGCTGCTTCTCCCTCTGCCTCTGTCTCTCATGAATAAATAAATAAAATCTTTAAAAAATAAAAAAATAAAATAAAATAAAATACATGCTTTGTGATAACTTATTTAGTAAAGCTTCCTGTAAACTATTTTAGACAGCTAATGGAATTTTTGAATGACGAGGATAATAAATTTCATTGTACAGGCTTTCCACTATTTAATTTCAGTCTAAATGTTAACTGTTGGACTAGTACATGATTATTTTCATAAAATGCACACTCATGACTGCCAATTTTTCCATGACTAATTATACCCTGCCAGATGTTTTTTAAGTTCTGCTAAGTCATATTTTCTTTTTCCAGAACTCTATGTTCCCCCTCCGAAGTCCCTCTGGCCTTTTTTCATAGTTTGCTTTTTACCTGAATTTGGGGCAAAATGGATTCACTGCTCTTTTTACCATTTTTATATGAATATAATAGTTTTATGTAAATTACTCTCAAGTTCACCTATCCTAAAGCTTTACCTATCCCCTTCCTGGGGAGATATACATTTTGTGCAATTTATTCTAAAAAGTCAGGAAGCCTTTCCATGCAAGAACAGCCTCCTCATATGACTGAAAATCTTCTGAATCACCCTGGAATCCAGGCTGTTAGAAAAATGCTAACCAGTCCCCAAACTTCCACATTTGTTTCCTGCTGTTCAGCCACCTCTCCTCCTGCTTACATTTTCTGGCTGTAGCAAGAATCACTAATGACTACTTAGACAGATGGACCTTGCTGTCAAGTAATACCATGCGACCCATGATGGATTTGCATTTTCTTACCAATCTGAGCATTATGGAACACTCACTGCCCAGCACTAGACAGAAAAATTTCAATGACAAATTTTGCCTTTTGAATACCAATGAAAATAGTTGGCTGCATGCACAGCTCCCAAAAAGGTGTTCATTGATTCAAATGTATTAAAAACCTACTATGTGCTGGTAATTGTGCAAAGGGTTGAGAGATGTAAAGAAAAAAATCCAGTCCTTATTGCCCCAAGGAGCTCTAGGGGGAAGAAAGATGACAAACACACAGTTGAAATCAAGTGAAGAACTAGATGAAACCAAGTCAGTGCAGTTAGTGGGGGGTACAGAGGAAGGGCTGCAACGCTGCCCAGTCATTTCCAGACTCCTCATCAACCACAGTGCATCACTGTTTATGCAAAAGCAACGTGACCTCTCCTACATGGATCCGTGTGCGCACGCGTCAAGGAATAACCATCGGGATATTTCTGCTGGAGAACGGTGCGTTCCGCAAACTGCAAGCATTTTCTACACCTACTGCAGAGCATTGTTGAGTGCCTATGGATGAGTAAATGAATTAAGTAAGCCTGGGTTTATGACCCAATCTTACGTCCATGTATTGGGAGTAGAAGGAAGCATAGTTGTGGAAAGAAAGTCTCTGAGGTCAGAAGACCAGATCTGCATTGTGAGGCTGGCCGTGGGCTCCTCATCCCTAGAAGGATGTCTGTGAGGTCCCCTCCAGCCCTCTGATACTCTAAGATCTAATCATAAAGGGACTGGTCAGGCCAGCCTGATTATCATTATAGTTTAGGAATGTTTCACGCTTCTCAGAATCCTCAGGATACATCATGTAGGAGGGAGCTTTGGTAACCGCTAAGCTCAAGGTCACTGAAGGAAGTTAAAAAAAAACAAACGTAAGAGTAGGGAATAATTTTAACAATCAATTTGTTTCTGTGCAATAAATATCAACAGTAAAACTTTAGGAATGTACTCTTAACAGTGCCAAGTGCCAGTGATCTAGAAATCGTCTGGCTACAATCTGATCGACGGTGATAACACAGAGATATTATTTACTATAGCCAGTCTGCTTCCTCTTTTTCTTGAAAGTAGTAATGATTTTTTAGCATTTTTCAAACTCTGAAGAATGTAATTACTTTTTTTTAAAGATTTATTTATTTATTTGACAGAGAGCGCACAAGCAGGGGGAGCGGCAGGCAGAGGGAGAGGGAGAAGCAGGCTCCCCACTGAGCAGGGAGCCTGATGTGGGGCTCGATCCCAGGACCCTGGGATCATGACCTGAGCCGAAGG